TTTTTCGACACTTGTTCTGAAATATTTTCTTCATGGCATCAATGACATGTTGATAGGGTTCGCCCTGTTCAGTGTCTTCAAAATCCACATTGAGGCCCATTTGAATCACCACTCGAGGTAAATAGAGATTCCAGCTGGTTTCTTAATGAATCGGAAATATGAATTGGTGGCAATGAAGAAATTTCTTGTGATCGTAATGGACTCGAAAAAGAGCCACCACTCAAGAATTGATAAAGAGATCGACAGGTGAATTTCAGAGATTGTACATCGAGGGCAGAGAGAAGACCGAAGGACAAGATGTGGGAAAGAACATCAGAATCGAGTTGCGAAAACGATGACATTTTTTTCACTGACTTAAAATTGGCGAGTTCTCGTTCCCAACGAAATACAAAGAACACAAGTTCTCCCACAGGAATAAGAACTCAACTTTTGAAAGGATCATCAGTTTTCAAACCTGCCAGATGATACCTGGATCCCAAAAGCTCGCAGGAATGCCTTGGTTTATGATAGGTATGAAGGAAATCTCGGTTGAGTTCTCTCTTCATCTCAACAACAAATTTGGAAATTTCCAATTTCGTTGTGAAGGCGCTCGTTTTCCTTAAAATCTTAATAAAAAATTCATTTCTCCCTCATTGCCACCTCTCACCGCAAGAATAACCTTTCACAATTTAAATTGTTGGCAACAAATCCCCTTCTTGAAAGACCCCACATACGAAGAATCATTTCTTCATCTTCTGTTGTCATTACACTCAAAAGCTTTTTCACACTTGCGTCTTGTCCAAAAAGGTCATTCAACAAAATTCTTGGCTCAAAATCGTTCTTTCTATTCATTGGACCAATTAACAAAAAGACCTCTTCATCCTTGAATCAGACTGAAAGCACAGTGCTCATTCTGTGTTCACACCTCCACTCACACCTCTCTCATTCAATATTGACAATAATTATTATTATTATCATTTTAATAATAATACCTCTCAACGACAGTCAGGCAACACCTCAGCAACATCACTCTCTATTGCGTGTGTGTGAACAAAGAGAGAAACACAGTTCAAATGGTTATTCTGATGATGATGATGAATTCAATCATTGAATCGAAAAGCATGAATTCTACTTCATCAACTGCATCTTCCCAACTTCCATCATCACAACAAAATACCATGATGATGAAACGAAGGAGAAGAGAACCCATCATTCTTGATATCAACAACAACAACATGGCAACCCCATCCTCCACCATTACGAATAGTTGCTCCTTCTCAATCTATCATCCTTCTCGAAGTACGAATAATTCTTCTTCATCATGCTCCACAAATAACTATTCCCAGTTTGATATTGCAGCAACCACCACAACATGCATGTTCATCGAATAACCACCATTATCATGAAGGCAACAATGAACATCATGCTCCAATGAGCGAGGATGAATTCATCATGCTATGCGAAATGAAAAGTTTCATGGATGAAAATTGTCGGAAAATGTTGCAAGAATTCCTCGAGATGAATGAACAAGAGTTAGAAAGAGAGATGAAAAAGTTGTGGGATCCATGAGAGAGATGGGTGAATGCGTGTCGATACCGTGATGATGATGAAACGAGAAGGAAAGGACTCTTCTCTGTCATTGGAAGATGGTTCCAAACGATCATTTTCAATAGGACTTTACCATTTGTTGGTTGATTCAGGCGAACCAAGAACATTTGTGCTTATACGATCTGTCTCACACACTGCTTGATCTCTTAAGCAATATCCATGTGACGCCACAACAATCCAATAAAAAACAA